AATTGTTGTTCAGGAATGAATTCGCTAATATTGGTGGTAACCAAATTATGAAACAAGGTGAGCACAGGGCGTTCTTCCTGCGGACGATTGAAGGAATGTTCGATGACAGTAATGGTGGAATGCGGAATTGATCGGAGAAGGTTAGGAAGAGGAAAATATTGGGAAATAGAGCCATTGAACGGAAATTCAGGAAATAGATCACGCGAGCAAGGAATGGCAGAGCAGAATGTGTAATAATGTTTGTGGATGGATCAAGGAAGGCTTCCATTTGGCTTTGTCCGGCATATTCACGGAGATGGATGGTAGTGAAAAACATGACTTATTGAATGGCGACAGTGAATAGACGGTGAGAGAGAAGCACAGGACCTAGTATACTACGATACTGTTGCCAAAGAAGGTAGACTCGATATCGCTGCGTTGCAAAACATTGCGTATAGCCACCGCAGGGTTGGCTAAAATGGCTGCCACTAGTAAAGCGCTGAATGAGTTTACAGATTTGCGCACTGTCGAATTGCGTGATGAAAGGCGCTACTCATGGATTCTTGCATGCTGTCCTCGACAGCCAGCCGTCGTGCTGCCAGCTGATTGGTGGATGCGAGACCGACCTGTTGGTGTATGAAGGAGCTAGTCGCTCGTTTGGAACGGTGAGAAAAGAAAGTTCCAATGGCATAGCTCTGATCCGTGAAGATGAGAGAGTAACCACGATCAAGGATAGAAGAGCTAGACAGAGAGAATGAGAGAGCGAACTCTTTCGAGTCGCTAGCCAGACCTTATCGGCCAGAGTGCCTTTCATGGGAGAAACGTAAATAAACTTACAGGTCTACTGTTCGTCCGGGTCCAAATAACGGCTGCTCCAGACATCAGGTTTTAAGCGGTCAAGATATTCGTCTAAGAGTCGCTCGTTTTGGGTTGCTTTAGGCTGGCCTCGCGTTACTTTTTTGACAATTTGTTCAAGTCTATCTGCAAATTCACGTCGTCCTTGCTTGCAGTCGCTCAGTTGTTGACGCGCTAGACTCACGGCAGTGAGGCGACTCGAAGTGGCTACGCAGTTGCTCGACGATCCTGGACTATTGGTTCTTGTCGGTATCCGGCATCTTGTCAATCAGATCACGGGCTTCTAAAAATCCCATCAGAGTATCAGTCCTAAGTTGCTCAGGGAGCGGTGGATTGACCATCGGTACCATATCCTCAAAACGCCTGAACCAGGAATCAAAGTCCTGGCCATCGGCTCGAACGGATCAGAGTCCGTCTTGTTCTGACGGGTTCGTCAAGACGGCTGTCTCGACCGACTTGGTCAGCTCCGAAGATGCGGGTTGAGTTACCTGCTGCGGTGTTTGGTTTGGTTCCGGTGTTGATGAATCATCCCGCGGCTCGATGGCTTGCGATCTGGTTGTTGGACGAGTTGGCCTTGAAGAAGGGAGGATGAAGGGTTTAGCGATGATTTCATTGACGTCTGAATAGAGACTGAGTTAGCCGGTGATATATTTATGTGGTGCTGCGTTCCTATCTTACAGACCATCAGTCATCGCGGAGCTTTTCTGTGGGAACAGAGAAAAAGTACGAACATGATCAGATACGAGCGGGTAAATGTTCTGATGTTTGAACCCCAGGCTGAGAAAAAACCGATTCGAGGCAAAGGGCACAGCGCAACATTTTTGCGACGTCAGAAAAAGCTGAGGGCAAATGCCTCTGGAAATTTGA